CTGAGCGCCGTGCAGCTGCTGGGGGCGCTGGCCTGGCTGGGGGCCCTGCCGCCCCACAGCGTCATCGACTACGAGGAGCAGCGGGTGCCCAACCCCGAGGCGGCCCGGGGGGTGCTCAAGTGCGACATGTCCGACCTGTCGCTCATCTGCTGCCTGGGCTACAGCCTGGTGCTCATGGTCACCTGCACCGTCTACGCCGTCAAGGCCCGCGGCGTGCCCGAGACCTTCAACGAGGCCAAGCCCATCGGCTTCACCATGTACACCACCTGCATCGTCTGGCTGGCCTTCGTGCCCATCTTCTTCGGCACCGCCCAGTCCGCCGAGAAGGTCCGCGGGCCGGAGGACCCAGGAGGCCGGGGAGCCGAGGGGCTGGCGTTGGAGAGAGGGAGGAGGACCCAGGAGTCCGGGAGAGTGGAGGGAGCCCAGGGGCTGGAGTAGGAGAGAGGGAGGGGGACCCAGGAGTCCGGGAGAGTGGAGGGAGCCCAGGGGCTGGAGGAGGAGAGAGGGAGGGGAGGGGACCCAGGAGTCCGGGAGAGTGGAGGGAGCCCAGGGGCTGGAGGAGGAGAGAGGGAGGGGAGGGGACCCAGGAGTCCGGGAGAGTGGAGGGAGCCCAGAGGCTGGAGTAGGAGAGAGGGAGGGGGACCCAGGAGTCCGGGAGAGTGGAGGGAGCCCAGGGGCTGGAGTAGGAGAGAGGGAGGGGAGGGGACCCAGGAGTCTGGGGAGCCCAGGGGCTGGAGTTTGCAGGGGGACCTAGGAGTCCAGGGAGAAAGGGGGGGGGGGGGATGAAGGGTTATAGTTTTTGAGAGGGGAGGGAACCCAGGAGTCCGGGACGATGAGGGTGTGGAGAGGAGCCCATGGGTGAGGCTTTGAGAAAGGGAAGAAAATAAGGGTCAAGTATGAAAGAAAGGAGAGAGGGATCGAGAGATAGGAACCCAGGCGTCCTGGCTCCCAGCGCCCCCTCCCGCCCCCCGCTGGAGGGGACGAGCCCTGCGCCAGCCGCCCTGAGCCCCCCGTTCTCTGCCCCCCGCAGATCTACATCCAGACGCTGACGCTGACGGTGTCCATGAGCCTCAGTGCCTCAGTTTCCCTGGGGATGCTCTACGTGCCCAAGGTCTACGTCATCATCTTCCACCCCGAGCAGAACGTGGCCAAGCGCAAGCGGAGCTTCAAGGCGGCGGCCGCGGCCCTCAGCGCCTCCACCCGCCTCTCGCAGAAGGGCAGCGGGTGCCAGAACGGGGCGGACGCGGCCCCAGCGGGCAAATAGCGATCGCCTCCCGCCCACGCGGCCACAGCCAGGGAGAGAACCCAGGAGTCCTGGCTCCCAGCCCCCTCTTCTCTGACCACTAGAGCCCACTTCCCTGCCAGAGCCAGGGAGGGAACCCAGGAGTCCTGGCTCCCAGCCCCCCTGCTCTAACCACTAGACCCCACTTCCCTCCCAGAGCCGGGGAGAGAACCCAGGAGTCCTGGCTCCCAGCCCCCCTGCTCTAACCACCAGACCCCACTTCCCTCCCAGAGCTGGGGAGAGAACCCAGGAGTCCTGGCTCCCAGCCACCTCCCCTTTGTGCAGCATGGCTGTGGCCCCCAGAGGAGCGGTCAGTCGTGCTGCTCGTGTGACGGGTGCAGGGGGGCTCAGGCCGCCATGTGCCGAGCGTGCAATGACCCCGCCCCGGCTCCAGCCAGTGCTCCCAGATCACTCCCAGTGCAGGCCTCGGAGCGTGCGAGGGGGCCAGTTGGGGCAACCGGACCTCATCCATTGTGGGGCAAGCGTGCAAAGGCTCAGATGTGCGCACGTGGGTCGTGAGGTTTGTGCAAAAACCGTGCAAGGGTGGATGGTATCAGAGGCACAAAAATGGAGTGTGACCTAATGGTTAGAGTGAGGGGGATGGGAGCCAGGACTCCTGGGTTCTCTCCCCAGCTCTGGGAGGGGGGTGGGGACTAGGAGCCAGGATTCCTGGGTTCTCTCCCCAGGTCTGTCTCCCTCCCCGCCCCCGCCAGGGCCCATGCCCCCTCCCAGGGAAGCTATGAATAGAACAGGCCTCCCACCAATCTTCCTGCCCTTGGGGAGCAGAAGCAGCCCTGCCCCCCCCCCCACAGCGAACCTGTCCCCCCCCTTCCCCTCCCAGAGCTGGGGAGAGAACCCAGGGGTCCCGGCTCCTGCCAGCCCCCCATCCACTCTAATCACTAGACCCCACTCCCTTCCCACAACCGGGAAGCGAACCCAGGCATCCGGGTCCTGGCTGGCTTCCGAGTGACTCTAACGCTCTTCGTTCACATTGCCAGGGCCCCCCATGCTGAGGAATGTGGGGTACCTGGAGCCAACCCCCAGACCAACATGAACCGAGGGGGGGGCTGAAGAGGCATGGGGGGCTGGACAGGGGAACGGGGGGGGGCAGGAGCAGAATAAACCTGTGTTTTTTACAGTGCTGCCTTGATTTATTTACAGGGGCTGGGAGCTAGGACTCCTGGGTTCTCTCCCACACCCCCCCGGCTAACGAGTCGGGCTGGTCCATTACGGGAACAGGCCAGGACCCCAAGATTCCTCAGCTGCGGCTGGGCCCCTCCAGTCTTCTCCCCATAGGGTTTATGCCTTCCTTCCCCCGCTCGCTTCCTCCTCATCCCTTCTCCTCCCATCGCTCGCTTCCTTCCCCCGCTCGCTTCCTCCTCATCCCTTCTCCTCCCATCGCTCGCTTCCTTCCCCCGCTCGCTTCTTCCTCATCCCTTCTCCTCCCATCGCTCGCTTCCTTCCCCGCTCGCTTCCTCCTCATCCCTTCTCCTCCCATCGCTCGCTTCCTTCCCCCGCTCGCTTCCTCCTCATCCCTTCTCCTCCCATCGCTCGCTTCCTTCCCCCGCTCGCTTCTTCCTCATCCCTTCTCCTCCCATCGCTCGCTTCCTTCCCCCGCTCGCTTCCTCCTCATCCCTTCTCCTCCCATCGCTCGCTTCCTTCCCCCGCTCGCTTCCTCCTCATCCCTTCTCCTCCCATCGCTCGCTTCCTTCCCCCGCTCGCTTCTTCCTCATCCCTTCTCCTCCCATCGCTCGCTTCCTTCCCCCGCTCGCTTCTTCCTCATCCCTTCTCCTTCTATTGCTTGCTTTCTTCCTTCTCCCGCTCGCTTCTTCCTCATCCCTCTCCTTCTATTGCTTGCTTTCTTCCTTCTCCCGCTCGCTTCTCTTCCATCTTCTACCACTCCTTTCATCACTTGCTTCTTGTCTTCCTTCTAACACTCACTTCCCCTGCTGCTCACTTCTCCTAACCCTTCCACTGCTCGCTTCGTCTCATACTTCTACCGCTTGCTTCTCCTACTCCCTTCTCCTGATCACTCGCTTCTTCTTCTTCTCCTCCTCTGTACCACTCACATCTCTTCATTTTTGTATCGCTCACTTCTTCTCCGCTTCCTTCCGTCACTCACTCCTTTACCTTCCTTTCTTCCCTCCTTCTGTCCCCCTTGCTTCTTTTCTTCCTTCTCTCCTTTTCCGCCCCCAGCACTCTTGCTTTCCCCATCACTGGCGTCTCGCGTTCCCCTGCCCGGGGCCACCCGGGTGCCAGCCGTGCCCGAGCAGCACAAAAGCGTCCCTGAAGCGGAAGCAAAGGCGAGTCCGGGCCCTCCCAGGCGTGGATGCACTCAACTCACCAGCCACAGCGGCCAGGAGTAGATGGGCCCCGCAGGCAAACTGCATTATCTCCCCCCACCCCGTCCCAATGTGGGCTCCGTGCCGGCACGGTCCCGGCTGGGCTGCAGCAGGGCACGTGGGGGGCAGCGTATCCATCCTAGGCCTCCAACCATCTAAACCCCACAACCCCAGCACTGCTGATGCTCTCGTGTTACAGCAACACTAGGAAAGCGTCAGCAAAGGGTTTATTGGTGTCTGTAGGGAGAGGGCTCAAGAGGCGCCGAGATGCAGCCACCTCTGGGGCGGGAAAGCTGGGGAACGGCCACACATAACACCACAAGGAGGGCTCACCTGGGCCAGATACCCCACCTCCCATCCCGCAGCCCCCAGCTAGCCCAGCCCTGGGTCCCTCTCCAGTTCTGCCAGTGCCCCTCACTCCCACCCCCTTCTCAGATTCCTTCCAAAGCAGGTAGATAGGGACAGACTTACCATTCGTAAATTGCAGGCAGCTGCTGGCAGCAACATCCCCCCCAACCTCTCCCCCCCCCCCAACAGTCCCGGCAGCCGTGGGGGTCCCTGGCTTATTTAGGGGAGCAGAGAACAGAGCCAGAGCCCTTGAAATATTCATCGATGCAACAGAAAAACCCAGGGGGAAGCTGGGAGAAGACAGGGGGAGTTGGGGTGGGCTTCACTTGGGGTGAGTCCAGCAGCACTAGTAGGGTCCACCGGGGCTGGTCAATTTCAGCTCTAGGGCACCAGTTCACAGAGACCCCCCAAGTCTCCACCCCCACCCTGCCCAACCCCACATAGCCCCCCCTTGCCCCTGCAGCCAATCCTCCACCCCCTGCAGCTCCACCCCCCGATATCCCCATCCAGCCCCCTATCTCTCCACCACTGCCCCCAACCTAACCCCACCCCCCCACACACACTCCTCATCCCCATCCCCCAGCCCCATCTCCAATCAACCTGCCCCACTCCTCTAGTTCCCTCTGCCCCCCACCCCCCCAGACCCCACACCCCTTGGGGTTCTCAGCTGGGGGGGGGGGCAGGTCTGGGCTCCTCCCAGCCGAGAAGGGGTAGGGGAGCTCTCACACACACCCCACCCCACCACCCCCTTAGCAAGTAAAACTGAACAGGACAAGAGCCCCACCTTGTGGCCAGATGGGGAACTACATATGGGCAGGCTGCCCAGGCAGCAAAGAGGGTGGGGATTGGGGCCCGGGGCCTTTCCCCTCTAGGGGGTGCCAGCCCCGATCCGGATGGGAGGCACAGGGGCTGTAGGGTGGGGGGAAGGGTCAGTATCCGTCTCCCATGGGTGGGAGCCACAAGCAGCCCACGATCCATCTGGTGCCTGTGATCTAGGGCTCCCCCCCAATGTGGGGTGATCACAACACTTTAGGAATGTGTGTTTATTACAGGGCTGCTTAACCTCCCCCTCCCATCACAGGCAGGGGCTGCCCCCCCCAAGACGGAAAAGTGGGTGCATGCTGGTCAGGCACAGGGAGCAGTTCCAGGCTGAGGATCTCTCTGCTGCGGTGTGTGTGTGGGGGGGGGGGATTGTCCCAGCCTCCCCCCATAAGGGGCTCTGAGGCCCAGTGGGGTGCTCAGATGTCCAGAGTGCTCAAGTATTCCAGCCAGTCACGCAGGGATGGGGTTTCCTGTGGGGGCTGAGAGGGGAGAGAGAGAGGCAGGTTAGAGGACTTGAGCGGGGGAGGCTGGATCAACAGATGGGGAAACTGAGGCACAGAAAGAGGGCGGGGCAGCGAGCAAAGGCTAGAATCCAGGAATCCTGGCCATAGGGCCCTGGGCTCCCCCCAGCCCTGCCGGTGCCCCTCACTCCCGACCCGCAGCCTCTGGCGCTCTCTTAGATCTCTCCCCCACCCACTCACCTTCCAGGCCCCGGGGTCCCCAGGACCACGCTGCCCTTGTACTGCCAGCAGTCGGACACGCCCCCACACCGGGTATCCCGGCTCCACCGCCAGTGTCCAGATGGCTGAGGGCTGTAGGAAGCGGAGCTGGTGCTCCTGGGGCTGCCAGTCGATGGAGAACCTGCAGGGAGGGAGGGAGGGGGGAAATCAGTGCTGCCACCTACAAGGTGGGGGGCTGGTGGGGTGGGCTGCGGGACAGACCTGGTCTGGAGGGCCTGAATCTCAGCCAGGAGTGGGGCCAGCTGGCCGTAGCTCTGCTGCAGCTCCAGGACGGTGCCCCGGACGTCAGCGCAGGGCCTGGGGAGTGGGAAGAGGGGACTGTGGCTCTGTGGGGCAGAGAAAGACACACACACACACCAACCTCCTGGTCAGACCCAGCCAGCCTGGCCCCCCGAATTTCCCCCCCTGGGTCCCACCCAGCCAGCCTACCCCCCACAACCCTCCCTGGGTCAGACCCAGCCAGCCTAGCCCCCCGAATTTCCCCCCCTGGGTCAGACCTAGCCAGCCTAGCGCCCCCAATCTCCTCCGGGTCCCAGCCAGCCAGCCTGCCCCCACAACCCTCCCTGGGTCAGACCCAGCCAGCCTAGCAGCCCCAATCCCCTCCGGGTCCCACCCAGCCAGCCTGGCCCCTCAACCCTCCCTGGGTCAGACCCAGCCAGCCTAGCAGCCCCAATCCCCTCCGGGTCCCACCCAGCCAGCCTGGCCCCTCAACCCTCCCTGGGTCAGACCCAGTCAGCCTGGCGCCCCCAATCCCCTCCGTCCCCCCCGCCCCCCAACCCTCCCCTCCGGCTCCCACCCAGCCAGCCTGGCCCCCCAAATCCCCTCTGCGTCCCACCCAGCCAGCCTGCCCCCACAACCCTCCCTGGGTCAGACCCAGCCAGCCTAGCGCCCCCAATCCCCTCCGCGTCCCACCCAGCCAGCCTGCCCCCACAACCCTCCCTGCGTCAGACCTAGCCAGCCTAGCGCCCCCAATCCCCTCTGCGTCCCACCCAGCCAGCCTGCCCCCACAACCCTCCCTGGGTCAGACCCAGCCAGCTTAGCCCCCCGAAGTTCCCCCCCCTGGGTCAGACCTAGCCAGCCTAGCGCCCCCAATCTCCTCCGGGTCCCAGCCAGCCGGCCTGGCCCCCTCAACCCTTCCTGGGTCAGACCCAGACAGCCTCTTCCCTCCATCCCCAGGCCATTACTCACCTGCACCCTGATGCTCCCATCCTCCGCCCAGCACAAGGTGAACCTCAGCAGCTGGGGGTCGGGGGTTGCTGGCTGGGGATTGGGGGTCGTCTGCTGGGGGCCGGGCGTCAGTTCCACGTCGATTTCATCAGCAGAGGCTGAGACCACCCGGACCCCTTGGAGGGTCTCCAAGAGCTGGCAGAGGGCAGAGGTCCTGGGGGGAGAGAGCAGGATACCTGGGTTCCATCCCCGACTCCGTGCAGGGGGAGGTGGGGAGGTCTAGTGGTTAGAGCAGAGGGGGCTGGGAGCCAGGACTCCTGGGTTCTCACCTCTCCACCTTCTCCCTCCAGCCACTGGCGACACACTCCTGGCTCTGGAGCTCCCCCTGCAGCCGGTGCAGTTCCTGGCGCTGAGCCTGCACCCGGCTCCGCAGCAAAGCCGCCTGCTCCTCCAGCTGCTGCTTCCGCTCCTCCAGCTGCTCCTGGATTTGGGGGTGGGGGGAGAACAGTGAAATGGGGCAGCTGCTGCCCTCACCAGTCCCGCTGCTCCTCCCACAATCAACCCACCAGCTCTTCCTAGAATAGTCCCAACCACCCCTGCTTCTCCTCTCTCCCCACTGATTGGCTCTGCCCCCCACAGACCCCTGGGTCAGTACCTGCTCCTTCTGCCGTCTCTCCCGGGCGCCCCTTGCCTTCTTCTCAGCCTCGTGTCTCTGTGGGGAGAGGGAGCTGGTGGCAAGGGGGAGGGTCCCTGCGACCGCCTAAGGCAGCTAGTAGCAGCAGTGAGACGGCAACCGCAGGGCCCCTCCCCGCAGGACCAAGGGGAACTGGTGGCAGAAGTGGAATCCCTGGAGCCCCCTGGGCAGCTGGTGGCAACAGTGGGATCCTCACATTCACACACGCCCAGGACAGGACCTTACCTGGGCCTCGTATCGCGCCAGAGCCTCCTTCAGCCGCTGCGCCAGGTGCTGGCCCTTCTCCAGCTGAGCCAGCACACGGGGCACTGCCCCCTCGATGGCTACCACCTGCTGCTGGTAGCCAGCCTTCAGCTCCTTCCACTGCTGCTTGGCTTGCATCATCTCGTTCCCTGGGCCGGGAGGGAAGAGAGGCAGTGCATCAAACTGAGGAGTCCTGGCTCTGAGCCACCACCGTTCTAACCCACTAGCCTCCACTCCCCTCCAGAGCCAGGGTGAAAACCCAGGAGTCCGGGCTACTCACGGACAGCTGCCTCTGTGGTCTTCTGGTCAAAGGGGGCTGAGTCCCTCTGGTCCAAGAATTCCAGCAGGAATTTGACCACATGGAGTTGGCTGCACATCCACTTCTGCTTCTTCCGTGTATCCTAGGGAGCCGTGGTAGGGGGAAATTACAGCCGGCACCCCCTGGAGGGGAAAGGCCGCATGCCCCATGCCCCACCCTGAGTCAGCCAGTCCCACGCCCTGGACAGGATGGGAGCCAGCACCTCCTAGGGGGGACAGGGCCCGTATTCCATTCCCCACTTGTCTGGGCCAGCCAGTCCCCACCCTGGGGCAGGATCAGAGCTGGCGCCCCCCAAAGGCAGAGGCCGGCTGCCCCATCACTCACCACAGCATGCTCCACCAGGACTTTGGCTGGCAGCTCCGCCTCCAGCTCCTCTCGGGTCGGCCCCTCGAAAGCCAGCGCCTCATCCAGCTGGGCCAGGAGCCTGCAGGGAGGGGCAGGGAGAGGGTCACGGCCAGGGAGCGATAGGCCCAGCCTGCGAGGAGCCCCAGCCCCTAATTCGCTCGTCCGATGGCAGAAGCCCGCCCCCCTAATATCCCCAGCCGTCGTGCTCCTTTTCAAGCCACCACGGATGGAAGGATTCCTATGGCAGCCGATTCTGGGATGGGGACAACGCCCCAGATGCTTCAACGCCTACAGCACCACCAACCTCATCTCCTTGCTTGGACTCCCCCAGTCCATGATCTCTGTCCTAGATGTCAACCTCTAGAGGCAACACTCTGGCTAAATCTCCCCCAACAGAGCCCCAGTCCCACAGCTGAACCCTTTCCACCCATGGGATGAAGAACCAGGGGATTCATCTTTGCTGTAAGCCAGCTTCCACCATGGAGACGCTGGCCCCCTCTCTCTTCTCCCCCGGCGCCCCGCCCAGATCTCCTGGGTTCTCCCCCCATCCCTGGAGGGCGACTCATGCGCCCGCAGCAAGAAAACCTCCAATGAAGCAGCCAACTCTGGCCCCAATAAGCTATCCGGGGCAGTAAACCACTCCAGCAATCCCACGTATCCACACCCTACATTGTACCCCAGCTCCGAGAGAATCATGGGCATCAAGGAAGCCTTGGACCTGCCCTGTCTATATCCACCAGCCAACAGTCACCCAGCAGCTTCTCCTTAAGAAGTTAGGACGACCACAAAGGAGTCCGGAACCAAGACACGGCAATCAGAACTGGCCCGGCTTCCCATTGAAATCCAGGGATGGGAGCATGGCCCTTGGATGGATTTAGAGGGTACAAGGGACTAGCCCTGCCGTCTTAACCGCGCGTGGCTGGCGAAGGAATTCAGGATAAGATTGGGGAGCCAGACATCAAGATATGAGAACTTTATTGAGGATTTAAATACTGACTGGGAGAATTGCAGTTATCAAAAAAAGATATGGACAAGCCAACCCCCACATCATGCCTACTTCTGATGGAAACCTTCTGATGAAGAGACGAGAAGAGTTTAGTGGAGATGTGAGAAAACCTGGATTTGTGCAGGAAATAGCCCAACTTGATTATCATGCACATTGTGTAAAGAGTTGTCACTTTGGATGGGCTATCACCAGCAGGAGAGTGAATTTGTGTGGGGGGGTGGAGGGTGAGAAAACCTGGATTTGTGCTGGAAATGGCCCAACCTGATGATCACTTTAGATAAGCTATTACCAGCAGGACAGTGGGGTGGGAGGAGGTATTGTTTCATATTCTCTGTGTATATATAAAGTCTGCTGCAGTTTCCACGGTATGCATCCGATGAAGTGAGCTGTAGCTCACGAAAGCTCATGCTCAAATAAATTGGTTAGTCTCTAAGGTGCCACAAGTCCTCCTGTTCTTTCTGCGAATACAGACTAACACGGCTGTTACTCTGAAACCTGCCACCCCAATGTGCCCACTAGACATCAGACATTCATCTTACTTTAATAGCCTTTCTCCCATCCATCCATCTGTGGTTGGCAGCCATGTTTAATTTGCTCGCTGGCCCCAGTCCACATGGGGTGTTCCAGATAACTGTAATTGGGGGACCCCAATTGCTACCATAAGCTATTCGAGGCTGGACATTACCCCAGTGTTTCCAACAGGTTCACATGGTGAACCTCAAGGTTACGCGCACCAAAATCTGGAGGGGGATTTTGTTATTTTGTGGTGTCCTTGTTTCTCCCCCCCGTACACAGAACTAAGTCTTATAGCACTAGGTCACATACTTAAACAGAGAGAAGATGGGTGAGGAAATCTCTGTTATTGGACCAACTTCTGTTGGTGGGAAAGAGACAATGGAGCCTGAAGAAGAACTTGAAAGCTTAAATCCTATTTCATTATTTATACGTTTACTCCTCAATAGTTGCATAACAGCACCTTTAGCACAGGTCTGTCGTCGCCCTTCGTGACTGGAGGACACCGACATCTCTCAGGTGCGACTGTGGCTAAAAATGAACATTGCCACTCTGTGACACCAGATTTACCGCTGACGGGCGATTTGCAGCGATCGGAGTGGGGTACACGCTCACCTGGTGAGGTTGCCCAGCCTCAGCACCAAGACAAGTGGGTGTTGGCTTTGAAATTGGCAACTGCATTGTTCCCAAGCTTGAAAATCTACCTAAAGGTAGAAGTGACCATCTTATGGTTGCCTTGGAAATGTAAGTACATTACCATTAGTAAAGTGTGTACATCCCTACCAGAGAAATGCAGATGATGTGAAAGAAAATTATAGTGACTTTGACAAACTCATCATGTCAATGTTGGATAAGCTAATCATCATGGACCTTTAATGCAAAGGTTGGAAGTAATGGGGTAATCTGGCTGAATGCCATCGGACACGATGGGACTCGGAAAGAGAATAGCAACGGCCACACTCACTAAGGAGCAGGGTTCAAGGGGGAATTAGCAATTGCAAATGGGTTTTTCTGCCTGACAAAACAAAAGTGTCACAAGCAAGCCCAAGATCCAAACAACAGCATCTTATTGACTAGATTGTTGATTGGCAGCGAGTTCGACAAGTCACTGTAGCCATGCATGAGGCAGACCACTCCAAACTGTTGTTAGTAATTTAAGTGGCACGGCGCAAGTCGTCCTCTAGTCTAAACCGATCGGACGACTCAACATAAAGCAATTTAAGCACTGATTAGTTTCAACATCAGGACAAGTTTTCCCAAGATCTGGTCAAGGGTGTAAGGTCAACAGAAGTGTCTATCTCCTTCAGGCCTGCAATGGGATCCAGTGGGTCTAGCCAACAACCGGCCAATATTAGTCCCCCAGAAAGTGCAACTCCAAACTCATCTAGATCCATCATCATCTGGATTCAAATGTGGAACCAGAACCACTACAGCAGTGCCAATGGATGATCTATCAATGGATGGAGGAAAGATCTCCATTCTCTCAGCCGTGTTCCTGTCAACTGTGATCTCGCTGTCTGGCCAGGAAAAGCGGCAGGGTCCAGGAGAACGTCCTAAAAAGGTTGGAGTCCTTTTTAGAGTGACATTAGGATGAGCAACTTCACTTCCACCACCAGATCCCTCATGAACTGAGTCCCATTAAAGGATCAAATTGCATTCTAAACCTATCAAACAACTATCGGACTACACAGACTCAAGCCCCAATAACATGCACCTAACTAGGCTTGGCCAAATTCATTCTTTTATAGATAGTAATGTTTATTTTAAAGCTTTTTTCCCCCCAACTTTTATTTCTGTATGGTTTCACAGTCACACAAAATTTGGGAAGGCTGAAACATTTTATTGGTATTTTCACCGATTTAAATTTTCGCACCCAAGCGGCTTGATGAGCGTCTCACCTGAGAACAATTTAACGATGGTCTCTAACAAATTCTCAATTGGCATTTTTCTTATTTTTTACCTCTCCATAAATTTCAACACTCATTGGTGGAAATATTTAGTGCCAGTTTGGGTGCATGCGGGCAAAACCAATGTTTACCACCATTTACAGAGAAATATCTAATTTTTCATGGCTAGAGAGGGCACCCAGCTCTACTTATCCTCCACCACATAGGACCAAATCTCCACCAGCTAGATGGCCAAATATTTGGGCAAGATCAGCCCATGAACGCAGAACAGCTGGACCCAGGCAGATGAGATGCTGAAGGACCGAGGGGAGGAGTGCGAGGAGTTCCCAGACACCGTGCTGTCTCCTCCCGTGGTAGGTTCACGCCCACAGTTGCTCAAATCGGAGGCTCGTGGCAAAGCAACGCTTCCGACGTTGACATTGCTGCTCAACTGGGAGACTCCAGCCCATGCCGGCAGATGACAACCCAGCCTCGGTTACACGATCGGCTCTCGGGTGAAGCACGACAACGCTGTCAACCTGAAGCTACCAGCGCAGAACGCGGCAGGGCAGCCAACCCGGCCGCGGCTCCACGTAGTGTCGCGGTCAAGGACTCGAGGGTGATCTTCGAGGCGCTCCAGGGTCAAGGACGGTCGAAATTGCCAGGGTGGGGCCAGGGTTGATGCGATCGGGACAAGACGGGCCCAGCGGGCGTCTAGGTCCCACTCCAAGTGCCCTGCATAGATCCCCAAGCCCCTGCAGGACACGCCATCGCCCCCGCTATAGAGAGGAGACCCCAACCCGCCCCCCAGGGGACACACCATCGCCCCCACCATAGAGGGGGGACCCCAACCCCCCCCAGGGGACACACCATCGCCCCCACCATAGAGGGGGGACCCCAACCCCCCCCCAGGGGACACACCATCGCCCCCACCATAGAGGGGGACCCCAACCCCCCCCCCAGGGGACACACCATCACCCCCACCATAGAGGGGGACCCCAGGGGGCACACCATCGCCCCCACCATAGAGGGGGACCCCAGGGGGCACACCATCGCCCCCACCATAGAGGGGGACCCCAACCCCCCAGGGGACACACCATCGCCCCCACCATAGAGGGGGACCCCAGGGGCACACCATCGCCCCCACCATAGAGGGGGGACCCCAACCCCCCCCAGGGGACACACCATCGCCCCCACCATAGAGGGGGGACCCCAGGGGGCACACCATCGCCCCCACCATAGAGGGGGGACCCCAGGGGGCACACCATCGCCCCCACCATAGAGGGGGGACCCCATCCCCCCCCAGGGGACACACCATCGCCCCCACCATAGAGGGGGGACCCCAGGGGACACACCATCGCCCCCACCATAGAGGGGGGACCCCAACCCCCCCCAGGGGGGACACCATCACCTAGCCCCCTCCCCGTGACCCCCAACTACTCACTCCCGGGCCTGCCCAGCCGCTGCCATCACGCGAACGATTTGTTGTTCCACCCACCACCCCCGCTCGCGCCTTTTCTTTCAACGCTGTTGGCCCCGCCCCGGCCGCCGAAAGGACCAATCAGCAGGCGAGTTCCCTGAAGTGAGTCCCCGCCCAGACCTCTGGAGGAGCCAATCAGCAAGCGAGTTCTCTCAGGTGAGGCCCCGCCCCGGCGTCCCAAGGCGCCGGCGGCCAAGCGACCCCCGCACCCCCCTCCCCAATTGGACAGCAAGGCGCCGGGGAGCGGCCCCGAGACCCCAAACCCTCGCGAGAGCAACGGCCAGGCGGCCATGATGGGAGAGAGACTAGAGGCCGCCATATTGGAGCCGGGAGACATGGGGCCGCCATCTTGGACGGGGGTAACATGCGGGCCGCCATCTTGAAAGAGAGGTAACAGAGGGCAGCCATCTAGGACCTATGAGAAAGGGGGTGTTCACGTGGGGGCGGCCATCTTGGAACCATGGGGGCCGCCATGTTGGCATAGGGCAGGCGCCTGTGGCCGCCATCTTAGGAGAGGCAGGAGCGGGAGGGGAAGCAACTGGCCAGGTTGGGAGGCTGCAAATTTCTCTGGGCGCAGGGGGAGGGGAGGGAGTCAGGACGCCTGGGTTCTAACCCCAGACCCGCCTCCCGCCCGGAGAGAACCCAGGAGTCCGGGCTCCCAGCCCCACCCTCCAGCCCACGGGGAGGGGGCGGGGCGGGATCCAGGTGAGCCGCAGGTGTTGGCCCCGCCCCCTGCTATAAAGCCCCAGCCCCCAGGTGGGGGAGGGGGAGGAGCCACCATGGCCTGGACGCCCGAGAGCCGCAAGGGCCGATCCCTGAGCACCAGCAGCCGGGACCCCCCCGCCTGGAGGAGATTCCAGTAAGAGGGGGACAGGCAGCCCCGCCCCCGCCCCCCCGCGAGGAGAACCCAGGAGTCCTGGCTCCCAACTCCCCCCCCCCCCCCGAGAACCCAGGAGTCCTGGCTCCTAGCCCCCCCTGCTCTAACCACCAGACCTGACTCCCCTCCCAGAGCCGCAGAGAGAACCCAGGAGTCCTGGCTCCCAGCCCCCCCTGCTCTAACCACCAGACCTGACTCCCCTCCCAGAGCCACAGAGAGAACCCAGGAGTCCTGGCTCCTAGCCCCCCCTGCTCTAACCACCAGACCTGACTCCCTCCCAGAGCCGCAGAGAGAACCCAGGAGTCCTGGCTCCTAGCCCCCTCTACTCTAACCACCAGACCTGACTCCCCTCCCAGAGCCACAGAGAGAACCCAGGAGTCCTGGCTCCCAGCCCCCACTGCTCTAACCACCAGACCCCACTCCCCTCCCAGAGCTGCAGAGAGAACCCAGGAGTCCTGGCTCCCAGCCCCCACTGCTCTAACCACCAGACCTGACTCCCCTCCCAGAGCCACAGAGAGAACCCAGGAGTCCTGGCTCCTAGCCCCCTCTACTCTAACCACCAGACCTGACTCCCCTCCCAGAGCCACAGAGAGAACCCAGGAGTCCTGGCTCCTAGCCCCCCCTGCTCTAACCACCAGACCTGACTCCCCTCCCAGAGCTGCAGAGAGAACCCAGGAGTCCTGGCTCCTAGCCCCCTCTACTCTAACCACCAGACCTGACTCCCCTCCCAGAGCCACAGAGAGAACCCAGGAGTCCTGGCTCCCAGCCTCCCCCTCTCCCCGAGAACCCAGGAGTCCTGGCTCCCAGCCCCCCCCCCCCCCCCGCTCTAGCCACCAGACCCTACTCCCCTCCCAGAGCTGGGAGGAGACCCCACCCCAGGGTAAGAGCCCTACCACTGCTGCAGTGCGAGTGGATCCCCTGGAATTGTGCAGGGGATTTTTCATGCAGAACCCAAAAGCTAACGAGGTGCACTGGGGCTGTGGGGGGGACACGGTATTTGGGGCTGTGCACTGGGGTGGGGGGGTGGCGATGAGTGTGGAGGCTGGCGTTTGGGGTGCAGTGGGAGCTGTGCATGAGGTGGGGGATCATAGACTCCTTGACCCGTAGGGTTAGAGGGGACCGCGAGGGGCACCTAGTCTGACCCCTGACCACGCTGCAGGATTTAAACCATCCAAGACAGATGGCTCCGGCCTCCACTCGAAACCCTCCTTGAAGGAGCTTCCACGACCTCCCGAGGCCTCAGTTCCGTCGTCCTGCTGCTCTTCCCGGCCGGAAGTTTTCCCTGAGATTCAATCTCAATCTGCTGTGCTGTAGTTTGAACCCACGGCCTCTCGTCCTGCCCTCTGGGGCAAGAAAGAACGACCTGCCTCCATCTTTTCTATGGCAGCCTTTCGAGTATTCGAAGAGCGCTGTCAATCTCTTTTCCAAACTGAGCGTACCCAGTTCCTTGGCTCACGTGGCTGGCGTCCCTCCCCTTTGATCGTCTTTGGCGCTTGCCTTTGGATCCTACCCAGTGTCTCCACGTCCTTTCTGGGCATTGGTGACCGAAACCGGACACCGTCCTCCAGCTGAGGCCTAGCCGTGACCCAGCCGAGCGGTCCTGTCCCCTCTGCGACTTGCAGCTACGCCTCTATTAATGCAACCTAAAATTGCATGTTTTTTGCAACAGCATCACGTGGCCGGGGTTGTGATCCACCGCCACTCCCAGCAGTGCTGCTGCCCAGCCAGTTCTGGCCCGTTCGGTACTGGTGCATTTGGTTTTTCTTGCCACTTACATTGGTCTTTGTTGAATTTCATTTTCTCGGCTACAGCCGAGTTCTCCAGTTTATCAAGATCCCTCTGAATTTTAGCTCTGTCCTCTAAAGTGTTGGCAACCCCCCCTCGCTTTGTGACATCTCTACACTAGATCAGTCTCTCCCTACATCCTGGTAGTTAATAAAGATGTAAAACACCACCAGATCCAGACCAGATCCCTGGGGATCCTCGCTTGAGACCTCCTTCCAGGCGGACATCAGTCCATGAACAGTTACTCTTTGTGGTTATTTAACCAATTCTGTGTCCGCTTAATGGTAATTCTGCCAAGCCCGCATTTCTCCAGCTTACTTATCAGACTGTCATGTGGGACCATGGCAAGAGCAGGGCTGTCAATTAATTGCAGTTAACGCAAGTGATTAACGCAAAACAAATTAACTAGATTTAAAAAATTGCGATTAATCCCAGTTTTAATCGCCTTGTTATACAATACCACAACACCAATTCCCCTTGACTATAAATGTGTTGATGTTTTTCCATATTTTCAAATATACTGATTTCAATTACAACGCCGAGTACAAAGTGTACCGTGCTCACTTTGCAGCAGTAGTTTTGATTACACATAGCTGCACTGTGAAAAAGATCAACAAGAGAAATAATATTTTTCAGTTTGCCCTACAGCCCTGGGATGAGGTGATCTCTTTATCCTGTAGGTGCAATTTACAAGTGTAAAACAAATATTTTTGTGACATAACTGCACTCAAAACCGAAGCAATCTAACACTTGAGCGCCCGCAAGTCCACTCAGTCCTTCTTCTCGTTCAGCCGATCGCTAAGACGAACAAGTGTGTTTACACTTCTGGGTGATAATGCTGCCCGCTTCTTATTTACACTGGCACCTGAAAGTGAGAACAGGCGTTGGCCTGGCGCGGTTGTAGCTGGCATTGCAAGGTATTTCTGGGCCAGATACACAAATCATGTGTGTGCCTCTTCGTACTTCAATCTGAAGTGAAATTGGGATTTGATTCTTGTTTAACAGTGCAAATAAACCCACGATTGAGCGACACTGTTTTTTGTTTTTAAATCTCGCGATTCATTGCCATTTTTTTTCATTGTTTGACAGCCCTGGTCCAAAGCCTGGCTGAAGTCCAGGTATAAAAGTGTTCTTCGAGCTAATGTTTAAAACGATCTACTTCTCAGGTTACGGAAAGCGTTTCTGTACAGCTGGGTATAATGCTTCAGTGATCCCGAAGTACAAAGCTGAGTTTGCAAGTCACAAAATACCCCTAGTCCATAATCTGCAGTATCCCAACGGATGGTTAATCAATTGAACGAGCCAGAGAAAATATTAGCATCCAACTCTTGGGGTGCATCTTTCATGGTCCCTCAGTAACCGAGACTTTAGGACGGGCGGCCCCTGGGGAATCTCCTCCAGCAGAGCAGGATTTCAGTTGCTTTCCTGACTTCGCCTCTCTGGGTCTCTCCTGGTCTCCCCGATGGGGGGTGATCTGTCCCCCCGTCCCCCCTCTCCACCAAACCAGTTACCCCCACCCGCCCAAGATGGAAATCAAGCTGGTGGGTCAGGCTTTGTTCCCCGGCTGCTGGCCATCAGCCCTGGCTCTTCCAGGGTGGGGCAGCTTGGCTAGGGTGGAGATGGCTCTGGCAGCCCAGGGCCTGGTCTGCAGCTTCCCAGGGGCTGGGAGATTTCTTCAGAGCCCTGGTGGGCTGGTGCGTGGGGGGGGGGCTGGTTGCATGGGGTGCAGAGGGGGGCTGGTGCGGGGGGGGGCTGGTTGCATGGGGTGCAGAGGGGGGCGGGTGCGCGGGGGGGGCTGGTTGCATGGGGTGCAGAGGGGGGCGGGTACGGGGTGGGAGCTAGTTGCATGGGGTGCAGAGGGGGGCGGGTGCGCGGGAGGGGGCTGGTTGCATGGGGTGCAGAGGGGGGCGGGGGGGCTGGTTGCATGGGGGGAGGGACCGGTGCACTATTGGTTGATAATCCCCCCCCGGGCCCCACACACACACCCAGGCGCATGCGGCTGCGGTCCGGGGCGGGCACCGTGGCCGCATCCGCCCCCAGCCGCTGCCGCCGGCCTGGGACTGAGGCCGGGACCCGCCCCAGGTACCGACCCCCCCTCGCCGCCCCCGTGTCCCCGCTCGGGTTTGCATCGCAGCGCCGCGCCCCCCCCCCCCCGATCCGCTCTTGAGGCGATGCAATGGGACCTCCCCAGGTCCCCCCCCCCGGATTGCAATGGGGGGGCTGACAGCAGGACCCCCCCGCCCTGGGGTGCGATGCGATCCGTGCTGGGGGGTTGCAATGGGGGGGGGGCTGCACCTCAGTCTGCCATTAGGAGCCCCATCCCCGCGGTCTGTGCTCCCCCCCCCGGCCCATTTCCTCTATAGGACCCCCCCCGGATGTGCCTCTTTCTCCCCCCCCCGTATCCATCCTCACAGCA